TGCCTCAGATAATGTGCTTTTAAGAACTCTTAGAGAAATAAAAGATTCTGTCAAAATTTCCTCCAAAGCTGGAACATAAAAAAACTGACAGAATCTTTTATTTCTCTAAGAGTTCTTAAAAGCACATCATCTGAGGCAGTTTTCGACGCTGGTTCCGAATATCACCCTATTTTTGTTTCAGACTTATGTTCTAATGCCAAAAGTCTCAGAAAACTGAAAAAACGCTATCGGACTGCCGTCTTGTTCTCAAGTTTGAAACTTTTTCACCACTTTTAAAATAAAGTTTTTCGGCTCAGTTTGTAGAGAATTGAATTCTGCATCTGACGTTAGCTTCAAATTTTTAGAGAAATTCTGTCTGGAGAACCAAAAGCGGCATTTACTCAAAACATTTGATCCTTCAAAATCCCAATCCTTCAATTGATTTGCGCTTCCAACAGTCAGTTTCTGCTTCAAAAAAATGAGTTAATTTATTAAAATAATAAATATAATAAATTAGTATTAGTATTTTTGATCAAAAATACTACAAAAAGCACTACAATCGCATTTACTCCATTAGGCTACTAACTCCATCTTGTGGTAAAACTCAACTTTTATCGTCTTTCGACCTGATATTCGTAAGGAGCATGAAATTATGCATCGAATGATGTATCTATCATTGACATTTGAGAAAAAAGTTTTTGGTAGTTTCAAAGGGTTCATAGACACGGAAATGTTTTGAAAAAAATGAACGTCAGTGTTCGAGTGAATCAGATACGTTATTCGATGCAGAATTTGATGCTCATTCTGAATATATAATTCTTTTTCAAAAATCTTGTAGAATAGAAAATCCGCATGTCTCCTCTATAAGCATGCTACAGGGGTGTAACTAGTATCGAAAATGCGATACCGGTACCGGTCACCCGTATACAAACTTTGTACCGGTACCGGCTTGTCTTGATCGTTTTTTGCCTCAATACGAACACTTTTTCCTTGTTTATAGAAATATGTCATAGATGAACTGAATTTACACGATATTTTTCGCCAAATTGTATCATGTCGCAAAATACCAGTAATGTCGACCGATTGATTATACTTCATACTAATACCGGTATACCGGTCGCCGTTATGATTCATAGCAATACCGGTCGGCCTTATAATTCATACCGGTGCCGGTACCGGTTACACCTATGGCATGCGAAAGTTCCTATTTTTCTCGTCAAGAAATAATATAAAAGGAGTTGGTTAACAAAATGTATAAGCTTTACGAATCTGGCCTGTAAATCGCTTCCGATCAGGCACTTCTGCCTAAACTTATGAACAAAAATCATGAAAATCCCTTTCTTCGTTTCGTAATTTTCCTCTCTTGCCAAACGAAATTAGCAACTAATACAAAAATCATTTGTATATATAGTTTCTGAAGCGCTATCGTAAGGACATAGTATCAGGCAAAACCAGTTTGGACATTTTCCCCTCGAAATCCGATTATTCACCTAAAGGTTTTCTGGAAAATCTTCGAAAATTTCTTTGATATTAAATTCAATAGAACGTTCAATTGTGAACAATGTAAAATCTCATTCAAGTTTCTGTGACCGTTTTCTGATAGAGAAATCAAATTATCAAAAATGCTGTGATTGTACTGAACGTTTTTCATAGCAAAATCTCATAAATCGTAGCTTCTTTTGGATAATGAAGCTCAAAAAGAAACCAGATGTTTATCACTACATATTTTCGTCGATGTTGCTTCATTTGAAACATAAGTCTAACACCAAAATTTGTAAATTCGTTTAAAAAATCCTTTATGGGGGCTCTCTTCATTCTTTTCCTTTTCAATTTCATCTAGATCAATTTGTCGTCGGCCTGATATCACATCCATTTTTTCATTTGTAACAAATGAACTTGTTTTCCAATAGATAATTTTATAAACCACATAAAAGAGAATGATAACAGGTGCCGCTAAATATGCTTTAAAAAATGCCTTTGCACTTGGTTTGACATTATCTCCAACGGGCCAGATAGCAACATAAAACTGTGCAATTAAGCAAAGAATGTTTAGAATTAAACCAATCCATGAACCGATAACACCGGCACCCGAACGAAACGGTATTTCATCTAATGTATGACCCTGATGTTTCCAACCCTGACGAAAACGAATATGGCATGCACATATACTACCCCATGTAAAAAATCCTGATAGACCAGAAATAGCCATTAGCCAATTGAAGACGGTTGGTCCGCCACCCGCTAAATTAATGTAGGCAATAAATCCAAAGGTGATGGCAATTAGTAATGACACCATCGGTCGCCCTTTCCTATCGATATATCCACATATTTTTGGTGCTTGTCCAACGCCAGCTAATGCTGCAATCGTGCGTGACGATCCGAAGGTTGATGAATTGCCAACGGATAAAACTGCTATTAGAATAACAACATTAAAAATATCAGGCAGAACTTTAACGCCGCCTAAATCAATTGCTATAACGAATGGGCTCGCTGATGCTGTTTTACCGACGGCATTCAATAGACGAGTATTGTTGGATGGAACGATAAAACCGATCAGTAAGAGACTTATGATATAAAACAGAGCAATACGCCAAAAAACTTGTTTCGTAGCACTTGGCAGAGTTTTTCGAGGATTTGCCGTTTCAGCTGCAGCCAAGCCCACAAGTTCCGTACCGCCGAATGAAAATGCAGCATTAACAAAGACTGTACATAGACCGTGAAACCCATTTTTAAATGCACCAGGATTATGCCAGGTCTGGACACCGAAATAGCGATGAGCAGGTGTGCCGCCAACGTCGATGACAATAGCTAGAATAATAAATCCGATGATGGCTAGAACTTTTATTGATGAAAAAACAAATTCGGTTTCAGCATAGCCTCTAACGCCAAATAAATTAATAATAATGATAAGAACGAAAAAGATAGTGATCCAAACTCCTACGGGTACACTGTTCGTCCAATATTCAACTACTAACGCAGCTGCCTACCATTCAACTAGGACGTTCGACAGGAGTTTCTTATCACCACAGATCCCCTTTGTCAGGTTTTCAGTTTTCTTTTATCTTCACTTTTTGTTTTTTGTAACTTAAACCAATTTGAACTAGTTACGCGTCGATCTCGGTTTTACAGTGAATAACCGAAAAATCCGGAACCAACTAACGTAAAAAATAGAAATCAGAAAAGTATAATCCAAAAGTCCGTGTGCCGATATCAGAAGCTCCTGTCATATAGCACTTTCTGGCGTAAAGAGTATCAAATAACTAAAGCATCCGTGTGCAATTCTTTTCATTTCAGATCACCACAGGCGTTGTTATGGATCTCTTTGCATCTTTATGAGTCATCGTCGAAGAAAGACATCGATTTTTCTGAAAACCAAATTAAATCGTCAAATGGAAAACCGAGGTTTTTTAAAGAGTTTTTCGACCTAATCTCAGAAAAAGTGAAATAAACTCAACTGTTAATTAGAAAATAAGGTTATCTTTTTTGCACACGTGACATTCCAAACAGGAAGAGGGCTTACGAAGGAAACTGGGACGTTTAACTCAAAAGTTCAATCTGATTTTGAATTAAGTTTGTCCTTAAGAAATACACTCATTAAAGGTTTTCGCCCGGTTAACGCGAAAATTATTTTCGTGCCAGATAGGCATCCATAGAGAACACGCTTTCGCTACCAGCACTTGTAGCAGGTGCTGTTAACTATATATTTTTGCAAGTTTTGATAATGATGGTAGATGGTTGCCATATGACTGCCAGAAGAGTAAGGCTAAAGATGGAGAAGCTTGGTATTTCACGGGAAAAACGATCATTACATTGTATTTCTATCAAAGAACCACGTGACTTTGAAAACTGTTATTCGGTTAACCGACCTCGATGCATACCTAATTTGAACCGACTGCATTAAAGGGCATACAGAAGATTATACAAAAACATGAAAATGTTCCGATTTTTCTTAGAATTCAGCTGTGTTGCTGTGCTGCATCCTGAATCTTTCAATAAAATAGAATGTGTTATAAAAATCTTAGCAAGATCTCGCAAGCCTGAACTAAAGCAAAAGACCTTTTCTTTATTTAGTGGAATCAAATTTTCCTATTTTGCATTTCCAAAAATATCGAAAATGTTTTCTTAAAAGTGAAACCAACGGCTAAACACCCAAAAAACATGAAGAAAACGTAAATTTTTGCTTAAGAATCTTCTCTGGACGTCCGAATACATTTTTCCCCCTTTGTCCAGTTTTCTGAACCGCACCACCTTCCCTCTAAAGCCGAATATACTAAATCGATGCCTTACTGCCGATAATTCAAGTGGTAAAACAATCAGCCAGTTCAATGCATAATTCCATCCCATTGCAAAACCCCATGCTGGATC